TATCTCTGCTTAGCGACAGAAAAGTAACATGAAGTTTTTCACTGGAAGGATTGGTAACTTTAGATCATGACCAAATTTAGCGCTCATGCTTGAGTGTGATAGTGAGAAGGTGCACAGACACCAGCCTCATCTCGTATTCATTGCTCTTAAGCAGACCTTGAAGACCTACTCAGAGATGAAGCGGCCGACTGCTGAGTAATATGTACGTAATGGTGCGAGATGGTCAAAGTCATGTATACCGAAATGCATTTGATCCTGTGGAGCTGATAGCCCCGAGACCCCCGCGCAGCCCCGCTCTTATCTTGTTCTTGAAGGAGCCCATATTTCATTATCAGCGCTTCTGTGCGTGTGCTCCCGAGCGCCAATCCGCTCAGAGGATATCTATGTGGGCTTCACACTCAGTAAGCCTGAAATGGAAGATATTGAACTAAAGACACAGAAATGTTGTTTCGCCTTTGATATTTCACACTTGACCTCTTGAGATTCTGACATTTTCATAGTTCACTGTTATAATCCGTATATAAATCACTTAGTGACATTTATGACCCATTATCAAATGGAAAATCCAGAGAAAATGTTACTAGTCTTGGCCTACTATTTCTGCAGGATATATATATATATATATAAATATATATATATATAGCCTACACATAGATATGTCCTTTTTATGTTTTATGGGTATTGTAATGGCCAATTCAACAAAAACAACTGAAACCTGAAATATGCCAAGTGTTCTAATAATTTTGGCCACCACTGTATATATATATCATCTGTTATGTCTAACAACATTTATTATTTCTTAGTTGTAGACACAGCTGGGGCATTTCTTCACAAAAAAAATATATATATATATAGCCTACACATAGATATGTCCTTTTTATGTTTTATGGGTATTGTAATGGCCAATTCAACAAAAACAACTGAAACCTGAAATATGCCAAGTGTTCTAATAATTTTGGCCACCACTGTATATATATATCATCTGTTATGTCTAACAACATTTATTATTTCTTAGTTGTAGACACAGCTGGGGCATTTCTTCACAAAAAAAATATATATATATATACATTGGCAACCAGTTTCTACAATTTAATTTCAGTGAAATTCATGACTGCATGATAAGGATTTTTAAAAAATAATTAATTTGACAGAAATTCCACTTAGAACAATTTCTAGCTGATTAAGTCACTATTTTAGAGCTAAAAATGAAATGTTCATGGAAAGGCCAATATAAAATTAATTACTTTTTTTCATGACTGTGGGAACCCTGAATTTATTCATTATTAAATATGGGCTCTTCTTGGAAGTAAATGCAAGAATCATTTTGTTATTTGACTTTATTTCATTTATTTATTCATTCATGCCACATTTTATTGTACTAAGAACAATAAAATGTCACTACGGTATTCTGATAGAAACTATGAAACATTGTTACTCATTTCATGCGGTTTGAAGATTCAAAAGCAGAATGAAGGTCATTTAAGACAAAAAAGGCTCTTGAGAAAATTCTGTATGAACAGGAAATAAAACATTTTTATTGAACATTTGTGTATATGAAGTTATATAACAACAGTCAGAAACTCCACAGTGTGAATCACTACACAAAGTGAAATGAAATTGTAAAACACCTCATCAAAAATGAAGGTATACACAGCAATATAACTGTCGGCTCGCCGCTGGGGCGAGCAGTATGGCAGAAAAAACACCCCGAACAGTTCTACAAGATTACAGAGAAAAGATCCACACACAAAAATACTCAAGCAGGCAGTTGATATACACAAAGGCAACTAGGATCTCCCTACAGCATCAGATTCTAATTCTTTACACAGCTTTTTCTTGAAAGGTGGCTTTTTGTCGTCGTAGAGTATCGGAAGGTTGTATGCGTATACTGTGCTGAATGATCAGGCTTTTTTTGTTGTTGTTTCTCTTTTTCAAGTCTGGTGCGGTTGTCGGAGCTGTTTGTGTGCTTTGGTAGGCTTCAGTAAAAGATAGCGTTGCTTTGCAGGGCTAGAAATGGCTTTTCAGACTACTTTACAAACCTCTGAGGTGCAACGAGCAATGCTGTCTTCTACTGTACTTCCAGTTCTACACCCATAGTGCAGACACCTGATAGTACAATAACACCCTTTTGCCGTCCGAAACGAGTGTGTCAGTTTGTGACTCTAAAACGGCATTTTTATCCTTGTTTTATAAACAAGCCTCTTGTATTAAGATATCATAAATACTTATATAAACGAGAGTACATAAGTAAGTCAGGTACCGTAGGAGTAATAATTGTACCTATAGTTGCGATAACACGTTTTGGAGTTCTTCTCTAGGTTCGCTCTCTCCGACAGGGTAAGAAATCATATTCGGCTATGAATAAAACATATGAATCAATATTTATTGCAACACTGAAATAAAAGTGCCAACTATACTTGGTCCCACGATAAAAAGTAGAAACAAAACACACAGTCCATACTGTACATTCTGAGTTCCATAATAAATATAAAATGGTCTTCAATAGGGCACTAAAGGAACGATAACCAGGTAATACTCATGAGTGTAATCATAACAGCGATAACAAAATGGTACAGCCAATCATATTAATAGTACAACAGATAGTTTCCATAACAAGATTGATACAATTCTCTTATATCCAGGTGATCTCAATAATGAGGAAATGATATCAGGACAAATATAAAAATATATATACACCTATTCTGAAAGGGAAGGGTTTTCATATATATATATATATATATATATATATATTCGTTTACCCGAATGTTTGGATGGTTAAATCTGTGTGCAGAAAAACTCAACGGGAAAAACGGAGGAATCCTTAACAAGTTTACAGATGTTGAGCTCCAAACTACACATGTGTGCTGTGACCTAACCAGACTACGGTCAATGGATACATCGTCTCGCTGTATAGGGTTGCGTTTTTTTTCGCTCTCTCTTTTTTGCCCCTATCGAGAGATGCCGCCCGTTTAAACACTAGGGAATGAACATACAAGTATTGCACAGTGCTCAACAAAATGCTGTGTGAATCGCGCGCGCTCCGTAACTGTTATCGGAAACCGTCGCTCTCTCTTTCGTACTCTCGTGTGGTGTGATAAGGGGATGGCAGCACAACATCACTATAGTACAAGATGGCCGCTACCTACTGAAAACTACAACGCTAAGCACACACCGCAGTCACAGTGATACACAACTCAGTCCCAAGAGACTACTATGGAATGACGAATAGCTTTTTTTTCTCCTTTTATTCATAAGTAACAGTGCTATCACCTACACAGTAACATTGAAAACATTTAGAAACTCCTCCTGAAGCTAGCATGTAGTGTACGCGAGAGGTTCCTCCAAGATAACTCATGGTTTTAATGGACTAAACGTCTACTCGCCCTCTTGTTAGACCCGTAGTAAAGGACATTAGAATGTTATCACCTGTACAGACCATTAACTTTTACGGTTATTGTTAAAGATTCGCTAATGCTCATGGCGTCCAAACCGGTCGGGGGCCGGTTCGCTTTCTTACGCTATTGAACGAACTGACTTTTCTCGACAAGCAACTGTCCGTTCCTAGACTGTACAGTGCAAAACAGTAGCCACGGGGGAAGGGATTGGCAGTTAAGCATGGCTAACTCTATTGTCACTGTGAAAAGGCAACAGAAAGCAAAAACTGCTGTTTAGGGCACCGTCGCGGCCAAAATACATTGTTCCCCAATGAACCGAAGCTACAACCACTATCTGAGTGAAGTGTGTGTGGAGGGAGGAGTCGCGTGCTCCTCGTACCTCCCTGAAAACAATGGCAGTGTTTAAAAGCTCGCCTCTCCTCTTCCTCCTCCTCTTCCTCCTCCTCCTCCTCCTCATCATCTCGTCGTCGGGACGGAGCGCTTCAAAAGTTTCCGTCCCGCAACGTTTGATTACTTTTGATTGAAGGCAAGGGAGTCTCTTGAAAGACGCCCCGGTGTAATTAAATCCCCCCGTTACCCGGCCTTTAGCAAAGATCGTAAAAAAAAAATCATGCAGTTACCAAAAATATTCAGACGTTGACTTAATCTAAAAAATAGTTGTCTTAAAGCTAGAGTCAAAACTCCTGGTTTCATTTTTTTTGGAGGCTGAACCGTAAATTCCTCAACGAAACGAGTCCAAGGACGAGAAAAGGAAGCGATTCACAAATTCAAGCTTCAAGGACATGATGGCTACAGCTTGTCAATTTACAGTTTCGCAAAGGTGCCAGATCGGATTCAGGAAGATTCGGGAATCAAAGGACAGAAAACAAGAAAGAAGCAAACCGGGGACCCGTTTTACTAAAAGTTAACAGCATCACCATATGAGAAATCAAAAGAAAAGGCTGATTGGTTTTCGTCAAGTAAGAAGAATTCCTTCGATTAAAGTGGTTTAAGCGAAGCGTACAGGTCCTCAGTTTGATAAATTAGTACAAAAAGTTCTTACGAAATCATGTGCTTGTATAATTGTCAGCAGCATATTACATTTATACCATGAAACCATATTAGTTAATGGCCTTCGTGTTCAGTGTGTGTTTGTGTTTATCGTGTACGGTACATCTGTATGCTTTTTTTTTTTTTTTTTTTTTTTTTTTAAGTAAACATGAAGCGCAAACCGTCCTTTACGAAGTGAGTGTACCTCCACTAGCGTCTTGCAGGTTGGAATTCTTTAAATATTTATATAGAGATATATCGTATATTTTAGTGGAATGCAATAAGGTAAAATTCTTAAATCCTGTTATATATAATATTGGCTCTTCTATGTCAGCATTTACATAATTTAAAATAGAACATCTTATTAAAAACATCAAGATATACACAGATTAGGAAACGGGTAACAACATACAAACACGTAAACTAGAAATCATTTTCGTCTGCATACTGATATATACACCTGTGGTACAATAAATTCCTCCAGTCATGCGCTATCTATACAGATCATATTGCTTAAAAGAAGGGGGCATTTGGTCGGGGATTTTAAGCAGTCATGCGCTATCTATACAGATCATATTGCTTAAAAGAAGGGGACATTTGGTCGGGGATTTTAAAGTTGTGGATGGAGGTGAAACAACAAAGGACAGAGAAAGTTTATCGACGGAAGGAAGGAAGGAAGGAAGGGGGCGAGGGGTCAAAACCGACGTAACAACACAACATCTCAAGGGGGTGGTCCAAGAAGGCGGTTTTCTTAGACACGAAATTAGGAGTGAGGGTGCATGAAGAGCGGCACGGGCTGCTCTATTTTTTCTGAGCTGCTAGCAGGGCATCCACTTCCTCCTCCGGCTTGAGCACGTGCCACTGAGCGATGGGTCTCCTCGGGTTGGCCAGCATATCTGACCAATGACGGATCTCGGTGCCTGTGCTGTTCAAACCCACAAACACTTTGCCGATGGCATCGTTCTTGCCAATCTTGTCATAGTCCAGAACAGTTATAACAACTTGAACTTTCTGTAATAGAAAGTAGAGACACACATTTGTAATGTAACATTTGTGCCTTTCAGTTTGTTTGAACATGTGCTGGGTAATAATAATGATGATGATGATGATCAGTGTCGTTCAAAAGTTTGGGGTCGGTAAGATTTTTTTACTGTTTCTTGGTATGTATACCAAGGCTGTATTTATGTGATCAAAAATACAGTGAAAGCAGTAATACTGGGAAATATTACAATTTAAAATAACTGTTAAAATAACTGTTTTAATATAGTTGACATTTGTCAACTATAACAACACAAACTTGTTGTCAATATATTATATTATGAAAATGTAATTTATTCCTGTGATGTGTGTGTATATATATATATAGCACACACACATATATTATGTACACAAAAACTTTTATTTTGGATGTGATTAATCGTGATTAATCGTTGCCCAGCACTAATATATATATTTATATATTCAGCTTTCAGATGATGTATAAATCTCAATTTCAAAAAATTGACCCATATATGTGCGATTAATCGCATCCAAAATAAAGGTTTTTGTGTACATAATATATGTGTGTGTACTGTTTATATTTATTATGTATATATAAATACACACATGCATGTATTTAAGAAAAATACGTTATGTTTATATATTAAGTGTATTTATATATAATATAAATTATATGAAGATCAATATAAACATGTAAATACATGTAAATATTTTCTAAATATATATATATATATATATATACACATAATAAATATACACAATACACATACATATATTACGTAAACAAAAACTTTTATTCTGGATTAATCTAATTGCTTTAAAAAAAAAACTATTGAATCCCAAAGTTTTGAACAGCCATATAGATATATACAGTAAAGTACAGTATATATAAAACATTTTTATAAATTCTGACACATTTAAAAACAACATTTTATAACTTAATGAAGAGGTCTTTAACATTATGAATATCTTACGATGGGTTGCTGGGCAACATTGTTTAACAATGACTGAAAATACACATAGAAAATACACACATGTACAAAATACAAATTGACCATTTTCCTAAATACCACGACAGTGTGATGGTCTTTTCAAGGGCCTGTTACTCTATAGCAGCTTGGGTCTTTGAAGAGCATGACAGCAGATACCAAAGAAAGGCCAGCGGGTGCCACCAACGAGGTCCGAACAACTGTAAATTGACTGTGAGCACACAACTGATCGGTGTGAGTTCTGGGTCCATGGCTCGCTCTTAGCGTGCTTACTTTGAGCCCAATCCGACCTGCACTCAAAATGCGAGCAGACAATATGAATGAACGTCTTCAGAGCCCTGATTATCCTTCGATCCACCTCTCCGCTTGGACTTCACTGACCAGTGAGAACAGGCCTGGGGCCATTGTTCTCGGGAGCCAGAGCTAATTTGCCATGTAATGAAATATTGAGGGATGTACAATGAGCGAGGAACTGTTAGTTGGGGATAGCCGCTTTTAGAAATGTCTGCTGCTTGGTGTGAATGGGAAGGGAGAAAGGCCTCTCTGGTTAACGGACCCCCAGACACACTTTGAATTCAAAGCAGCTCACTCAAAGCATAAAATGTATCCCCTGAACTGTGAAATGCTAAATCAATTTGAAGCAATTTTATTCTTATTACACTAGCAAGCATTGCATCCATTTTATTCTCTAAATAATTAGCAACAAAACCTTTTTAAAAGCCTCACGCCGAGCCTTATCCCATTTCACAAGTTACTTTTCGTCTGTTGTTTGCCAATTAGTCTCTATAAATTTCAACACAGGATTTGTTTAATTAGTCTTTAATGACAATAATGAAAATGGGAATTTGCGTTGAATTTGCCGTTGCCATATTAGAGCTCGGTTTCAGTACAAGTAAAAAACCTGAATTACCTGGATTTGTTCGAATGGCACTTCGAAACTGAAAGACTCGTTGTAGTAAGGGTTGAGGGTGTTCTTTTTGATTGTCGTCTTCTTCTTCTTCAGCCGCTTGCCATTCTGCATCAGGTGAATCTTGACGTAGGGATCTAAAAACACACAGATACAGGACATAGCATGAGAAAATACTCCAGTTTTTATGACATATTAGAGCAGGTGACTGGGACCCAATAGGGGCCTCAGCACACTTCCAAGGGGGCCACAAGATGGCTTTAACTGATTTAAAATAAGAAAAATAAAAACCTACAATAGGCTAAAACAGCTCAAATATGTAACACAATTTTCTTATTTTGATTTATTCCTTCAACAACTGCAATTTTTATTCAAGAATGAGGGTTCCCACAGTCTTGAAAAACCTAGACATACCAGGGAATTTTAAGTGTGATTTCTAAATCAGGAAAACCCATTAAATCTTAAAGGCACAATATGAAAGATTTTTTTATTAAAATATCCAAAAACCACTAGAACAGTTTTATATATATTTTGCTGACTTGTGTAATTACATTATCCCAAATGTTTCGAAGAATGTTTAAATAAGCAATTTTAACTAGTGACACGGAGCGTGTCCATAGTGTCATTGTGTCGCCTGCCAATGACGTCATAACCCCTCGATTTCCGTAGAAAACATGGAAACACCAAATACGCTTTAATATGTTGTGCGTTTTAATAGACCGGTGACGACCGCACAGAGTAGCATTATAACAGAACGTTCAAATGTATCTAGTATGATAAAACAGCGCTTACTTCCGCTGCTTTCCGGAAGCGGAAGCGGTCGACTGTGGCATAATAAAAGCTCTGCTGCTTTCGAGCCGTGTGTCACGCTGTTCAGCGGCCTCGTTTTGCTTCGACGGCTTTCCGCCTCACTCTGCTTCATACTACGATGTTAATAAATCTTTAATACATTAGCTCATCCATGAACATGATTTCTGCCCGAGTCCCATCAGATTGCATCGGCTGTGGGGATGAAGACGACAACTCCCATGATTCCACACTCAGTCACGGCGTCATCTAACTACGCTTTTGTTTCTTCGTATGTTTTGAATACGTGCCCTCTAGTGGCAAAAAATTACATATTGTGCCTTTAAAGGTGGGGTAAGCGATTTTTCTAAAACACTTTAGAAAACTGATTCGGGCCGACTAGCAAAACAAACTTGTAGCCAATCAGCAGTAAGGGGCGTGTCTACTCATGATGTGGAGGAGAGAGCGTTCAGTGCACAGGACGGACATTAGCCGAGCCGAGCGACAGAAAGATAAAGATGGCGGATAAAAAACAAAAGAGGAAAACGACTGCGGAACAAAAGAAGGCTTAAGGCAATAAGGCAAGAAGTAGGACCCGTGTAAATATCGGATCAGCTTT